AACCGGGGGGGAGTCGGGGGAGCGCGGAGGTGTCGGGGGGACCCGAGGGGGAAACCGGGGTCTCGGCCGGTGCTGAGCGGGGCTGTCCCGCCGACGGGGTGCGGGGAGGGTCGGGCCGAGCCTCCCGCTGGCAGCGGTACCTGCGGCGGGGCGAGGGACCGGGGCGGCTGGCGCTAGGCCGGGCTGTCCCCCTGGGGCCGTATCCCCCTCCCCCTGGGGCCGTGTCCCCCTCTCCGTGGGTCTGTCTCCAGCTCAGGAGGCGGAGGCCGGTGCCGGTGATGTGGTTGTGGGTCTTGAGGGCGGGGCTGAGGGGAGAGCTTACCGCCCTGTGACTGTCTGGGGAGAGGGGTCAGTCCCTGCTGTCAGATAACGAGTGACAGGAGGAGGGACGGGGCAGGAGAGGGCTCTGCTGTGGGGACAGGCTGAGAGAGGTGGGGGGGGTCAGCCTGGAGAAGAGAAGGCTCCGCGGAGACCTTGGAGCCCCTTCCAGTCCCTCAAGGGGGGGCTCCAGGAAAGCAGGGGAGGGACTCTGGATGAGGGAGGGGAGCCCTAGGAGGAGGGGGAAGGGTTTGACCCTGAAAGAGGGGAGATGGAGCTGAGCTGTGGGGAAGAACTTGTTTGGTGGGAGGGTGGTGAGAGCCTGGCCCAGGTTGGCCAGAGAAGCTGTGGCTGCCCCATCCCTGGAGGGGTTCAAGGGCAGGTTGGAGGGGGCTTGGAGCAACCTGGGCTGGTGGGAGGTGTCCCTGCCCAGGGCAGGGGGTGGCACTGGGGGGGGCTTTAAAGGTCCCTTCCCACCCAAACCACTCTGTGATTCTATGATGGGAGGAAATGGCCTCAAGTAGCACCAGGGGAGGTTTAGAATGGAGATTGGGGAAAATGTCTTCCCCGAAGCCTTGGCAGAGGCTGCCCAGGGCAGTGGTGGAGTCCCCATCCCTGGAGGGATTTCCAAGCCGGGCAGACGTGGTGCTGAGGGCCATGGGTCAGTGGGGGGTTTGGCAGTGCTGGGTCCATGGTTGGACTCCACGATCTGAAAGATCTTTTCTAATCTAATTGATTATCTGATTCTGTGTTTCCTGAAACTTGTGTTTCCTCAAATCATGGAGTCACCAAGTGGTTTGGGTGGGAAGGGACCGTTAAAGGCCATCTAGTCCAGCCCCCTGCCCTGGGCAGGGACATCTCCAACTCAGTCAGGTTTCCCAGAGCTCTGTCCACTCTGACCTTGGAAAACTGATCTTTTTCTACTAAAACCCAGTTGACACCAGGTGTCTACACATCCATCACCAGACATCAGCAGCGCCCAGCTCTAGGTGACCTCAGGTGGCATCATCTGTGAAGAGAGGGCTGTTTCTAAGCCTGTTTAATCGCTGCTGGGGGTAGGGCAGGGGGTGAGCCACCCCCCCCCAGGGAGCTGCCACCATGGAGGAGGTGGAGTCGCGCTTCCTGCACCTCCTGCAGCCCATCCGAGACCTCACCAAGAACTGGGAGGTGGACGTGGCCGCCCAGCTCGGGGAGTACCTGGAGGAGGTAAGGGGGGGTCCTGTGTCCCCTGCGTGGGGCTGGGGGGGAACCTGCTGCTGCAGGGGGCTTTCTGTCAGTGCCCCCCACTGCGCTGTCAGAGCTCTTGGCTCTTCCCTCTCCCTGTGCTGCCCTCGGATCCCGCCCGCACCTCAGCCTTTCGTTTTCCTCCTTTTGCCTGTTTCGCAGCTGGATCAGATCTGCATTTCTTTCGACGACGGCAAAACCACCATGAACTTCATCGAGGCGGCGCTGGTGATCCAGGGCTCGGCCTGTGTCTACAGCAGGAAGGTGAGAGGTGGCCCCAGTCCTGTCTCCCGGCCCCTTCGGCCGCCCCTCGGCCACCACCTGAACCCGAGCCCCACAGGGGCTGCTCAGGGATTTTGAAAGACTTGAATGTAACAATGGCTAGTGGAAATGAAAGGATATAAACTTATAATTCCTAAATCCAGCACCTTTAATGGCCTGGAAAAGAGCAAGAGTTTTGTTGTTTGGCACTGTTCTCCTCCAGAAGGTGAAATACAAAACCCTGCTTCCCCAAATCTGGCCTCAGAGTGGCTCGAACGGTGCAAAGAGCAGGGAGATTGTCAAGGAGTGGAACTCCAGCTGCCTGGGGAGAAGAGGAGGGCAGTGGTTCCTCCCGGCATCAGCCAGAGTAGCTTTTCTGGGGGCTGATTCCTCCTCCTCTGAGAGTCTGGTCGCTGTTTTGCAGGTGGAATATCTCTACTCACTGGTCTACCAGACACTGGACTTCATCTCTAACAAGAAGTGAGTAGAGCCTCAGCCCCGGGGGGGTAGATAATGCCGCCTCGTGCTCCTCCCTCTGTGCTGCGGTGGGGCCTGAGCCCTTCCCCATGCTCTTTCCTGCTGAGGTTTGGTTTGGTTTCCTGCCCCCAGTGCGTGTGAGATGTGCATCTGCTTTTGGGGATGCAGCAGCTTGGGATTTATTTTTCCCTTTTGCCGCTCCAGAGCTGCTTTGTGTAACCTCCCTGGTGAGGAGAGGTGTAATGTCCCCTCCTGTCTGTGCTCAGGTTGGGGGTTTGGGGGAAAGATGAGGTTTTTGTGCTGCACCTCCCCCCCAACATCCACTTGGCTCCAACCAGGTGAACGAGCTTCCCCAGGGAACCATCCAGGCTCTGCTGTGCCCCACCAGGAGCAGGAAATCTCGCTGGTTGTTCGGGGAGGTTGAGGCAGAGGGTCTGAGGGATCCCCTGCTTGGGCTGGAGCGAGGGGAAGCTGCTGCGGAGCTTTCCGAAAGTCTCTGACAATTATCCCCGTGCTGTGGGGTTCAAGTGAGGCCTTCCCTCCTGTAACAGAGCTTCTGAGCTGGAATTGGCAGGATGGATTTGTCCCAGATGGGGTTTGTCGAGCTGGATCCCCTCTTCCTGCCACCCCAAATTCCTTTGCAGCCCCCCGGCTCCTTCCTGGGCAGCCTGTCTGCTCTCCCCAGGGGACAGGCTGATGGCACGGCTGTCCTGCGGTCCCGACGGTCACCCCGTCACCTCTCCATGCTCTCCGCAGCACTGTGGGGTGCTCCTGCTTAGAGAGGCTGCAGTGGGGTTGGAGGGAACCTGCTGCTGCTTGGCTGCCACCCCCCCGGGCAGGTCCCGACCCCCTGTTCTCTCCCTGTCTCAGGAGGGAGAAGCTGCCCAGCTCTGTGGGGCAGGACGGCAGAGACACCGACGCCACCTTTGGGGGGCAGGAGCAGGAGGAGGTGAGAGGGGCGTCCGTGTGTGGGGTGAGGGGGGTTGGGGGCATGGGCAGGGCTGGTTTTGGCTGCGGGGGGGCCTCCAGCACTCCCCCCTTTCTGACTGGTGCCGTGGTGGCTGTGTACATCCCCCTGCTCTGCCCCCCTTCAGCCCCTGGGCACGACAGGGGCGTTTTGTCACGATGCTGCTGGCCTGGCCTCCAAGGGACGGGACCTGCCCCATCCTCTGGAGAAGAGCCAGCCCCCTGTGCACGTGGGGACCTCCCTCTGTCCCCCCCAGGGCCTTCTCCTGATCCTTAACTCCTTGGGAATCTGTCCCTAGGGGCTGTGGCAGCTCCCTGGGCTGGACCCTTCCCATGGGAGCGGACACCTTCCTTCCCTCCTCGCTTCCCTCCTGCCCGGGGGGTGCTGTCCTCACAGCCCCAGCCCCACTCCAGCCCCTCCAGAGCTGCAGCTCAGCGCTCTCTGTCTCACTGGGGGGGAGCAGCCCTGGGAGCGCCCCGTCTCCGTCCCCCCGCCCCGCTGAGGGACCCTCGGGGGTGCAGGGTCAGCAGGCCGAGCGGGGTGACTGCTGGTGGGGCTCTCTTGGCAGTTCCTCTCCCTGGATGACATCAGGGACAGCAGCCAGGCCAGCGTGGACATGAGGAAGGATCATCAGCCCAACGTAAGAGAAGCCCTTCTCCTTTTCTGTCCCTCTCCCCGTTGGGGTTCCCCTGAATGAATCCCACGGGCCCGGGGCCAGCCGCCATCCTGGCCGGGCTCTGTGGGGACGGTGGCACCCAGACAGGCCCTGTCCTGCTCTGCCACCCTCCTGCCACCTTACCTTTGCAGGCCGTGGACATCATTCCCTTGACTCCCATGTCTTTGGTCCTTCCAGAAGAGGCTGAGAAGAGGGACAACCCTCTGTTCAGGTGACAGCCCCCTCGCCGTGCCCATCAGCCACCCCCGTGGGTTTAGCTGGGCTGCCCCCGTTGCTGTAGTAGGGTTGGGCTCTCCAAGGAAGTAGTGCCTTCCCAGTTTAAACTGGACGGCAGGATAATCCCACAGGGCCTGGAGCACTGGGAGATGTGGAGTCCTGTGGTGACAGAGGGGCAGGAGGGGAGGGACAAGCTGGGGCTGTGCTGGGAAATCCAGGCAGGGTTTGGCTGAGATGGAGAAGAGGAGGCTGAGGGGAGACCTTCTTGCTCTCTCCAACTCCCTGAAAGGAGGGTGTAGAGAGGTGGGGGTCGGTCTCTTCTCTCAAGTCACAGGCAACAGGACGAGAGGAAATGGCCTCAAGTTGCACCAGGGGAGGTTCAGGCTGGATATTAGGAAAAATTTTTTCACTGAAAGGGTTCTCAGGCATTGGAATGGGCTGCCCAGGGAGGTGGTTGAGGCCCCATCCCTGGAGGTGTTCAAAAGACGGGTTGATGTAGTGCTGGGAGGTCTGGTTTAGTGATGATGCTCCCTGTTTGTTGTGTGGGTGTCTATTTTTGTCAGTTGGGTTGACGGTTGGACAAGATGATCTTTAAGGTCCCTTCCAACCTAGAAGATTCTGTGATTCTGTGATTCTGAGATCAGCCAGTGGGAGGGCTGGGGCTGATCCCCCTGCCCCATTCCCGAGCAGGGGGCTTTGGGAACACCCCAGAGGCCAGTGCCCCCCTCCCCGGGCTCCCAGCGGGACAGGGCACAGCCTGGTCTTGGGGTTCCCCTGATGGTTTTTTTCCCCTCAGCCGGAGAGGGGAGGTCCTGGCGAGCCGGAAGGATTTCCGCATGAACACCTGCACCCCTCACGCCACGGGAGCCTTCCTGCTGGAGCTGGCGGGGCTCTCCCCCACCGCCCGGCAGCACCGGCAGCGCACGGGGAGCCCCGGCACGGCCGCAGGTATGGGGGGCTCGGGGTGACGGCACCGGGGGTGGGAGGAGGCAGCCTGGGGGGGGCTCTGGACCTCATTGCCCTCTACAACTACCTGAAAGGAGGGTGGAGAGAGGTGGGGGTTGGCCTCTTCTCCCAAAGGACGAACGACAAGACCAGAGGAAATGGTCTGAAGTTGGGGCAGGGGAGATTTAGATTAGATATTAGAAAGAACTACTTTCCTGAGAGAGTGGTCAGGCCCTGGAACAGCCTGCCCAGGGAGGTGGTGGAGTCACCATCCCTGGAGG